ACCCTCAATGAAGTGTTTGAGAATGTCACAGCATTTGAAGAATATCCTGGAGAAACTCAGAAGTGCTGCTGGGGTCCCTTCCAGTCCCAGGGTTGCATTCCCTCCATCCCTCTGGTGTCTGAGGTGGACCTAGTTACTATCTCTGATGTTCAAGATCAGCTCATGCTTCAGACAACACACTCTCCTAATCTTTGTCTCCCTATACAGTCAGTAAAAATGATAATGTGATACTTAGGCTGGAATTACATTGCAGGTCTGAGCCAGCTCTCCTGTCCTGCCCTGTCCAGGAAGGAAACCAAGATCTGGCTAGTAGAAGGCATAAACTGCTTGTTTCAGTATCCAACACTGATTTCATAGCAAACAATCCAAACACAACCCCTGGGATCACACTGTTTACTACTATGGGGTTTTCAAAGCCTTGTTTTCTGCTTGCCTTGGCTGTGGAGACATGAAGTACAACAAACTGTGCAGAACTCATGCCAGTGGCTGCAAGGGGAAGCAACCAAACAGCAGCTGCAGAGGTTGATTTGGGGATTTTAGTAGTCAGTCAGAGGAAATAAAGGAGGTACAGTAAGAGTGAGGTGTGTGGAAAGAAAAATAAAGGAGAAAGAAAGGGAAAGGCAGAAAGGCAGAGAGTTAAATGAGCAGATGGAAACAAAAACCAGAAGGGGAGGAAAAAACCCCAAACAAACAAACAAACAAAAAAACACACAAAAAAACACCAAACACTAAGACAAAGAAGATTAGGAAAGAGAAGAGGTTGTGGACATGAATAAAAGTACCAAGTGAGATGCAGTAACCAAGATGATGTTGCATTTAAGGTGATTAATTATTCTGGTAAGAGATTAATCTTTTAGATTTATTTTACCGTTCTAGCCGGTCCTCAGAGATTAGAGGGGCTAGGGGCTGCTGGACTTATCTCTTAATAGGTATGCCAGTTGGGGCTGTAACTATAGGTCTGACATGGATGCACAAACAGCCCGTATGCTGTAGGTCCACTTGCGTTCAAGAGAATCAGTCAGATTCACAAATAGTACAGTTTATTTTCATGCAACGTCTACAGATTCTTTGAGATTGCCTGTGATAAATGCACAAACTGCAGGTTGGCTACACAGCACTACACAAAAGGAAAACGATTGCAATCACACCCTCTTAGTTCCCAGGTAATCACGTGGCGTAGCTGACGGCTGAAATCTTACCAAAAGGTGTCCCTTCTGAGGGGGGGCAAGGAGCATAAAACCTGTTGATCTGTCCCTTTGATTTGGTGTCAGATTATCTTGCCTCCAAGTTGGGCACAAACTCAGAGTAGTATTTATCTTAGTACGTATGTGTGAGGGGGTGGGACTGTAGTCAAGCCATTATCTTTTGAGTAACAACACAGTACATTCCTTGGTGCAAAGGGAACAGCTGTTTTGGGGGGGAAAAAGAGGGAGGATGAGAAACAAGACCAGCTGGCTACTACAGAAATCATCCCTTGAAAGAAAGGGGTAGAGCAGGAGATAAATCTGTCCTTGAGAAAAACGAAAGAATGGGACCATGCGGCCTACACCTCACTTCGCATTCCTCCGTGGCACCAGAATAAACACAAACCACTGGACCTCCATCCCGTCCTGTGCTTGCTCTGGGCACCCTGTGTCAAGGAAAAGTGTGTTTTACAGATTTCTCACTGTTTTGCTTTTCTCACGCTTCCAACACTTAACAGATGGGTACATATATTGGTGGCAATGGTAAGAAACTGTCCTATTTTCCCTTGAGAAGACCCAAACAAGAAACATATGAAGGTGATCTAGTCATTCCGATTTTGGACTCTGATCCAAATCCAATCCCATTTAAAACTGTTTCTGAGATACCAGGAAGTTTTTTTCAAACAGAAAAACAATTTTCTTCTAGCCTTTCTTTTTTCATTTATCACATGACTATGTTAAAAATGTCACAGGGTAGCTCACCATTCTCATCATCATTCTGTGTCACCCAGAAACAAATTGTCTTAATAATGAAAGTAACATGTACAAAGCACAAAAAGATCTGAAAGGGGAAGGCTAAGCTTTACTTGATCTACTCTCAAGGTTGTCTTGATTACATTTGTGTTCTGAGTTATTCTTTAGCTTAAACTAGTCAGTTAAAAAAAAAAAAAAAAAAGTATACCAAATAAAAAAGTCCAAAATTTTCTTAGTTTCCTGAATCATCACCACACAAGATGTTCAATGATTTCCTTTCTCGAGGAGATACTGTGCATTGCAGGATCTCAGCTGTCTTATTTACATCTCACCTTTAAAAGTGCCCTTGAGGAGATGCGTTATCTGAGGAGTGGAAAAGTGCACCTCCATGTCAGCGGGGTTTGCAAAGTTCACACCCTGCTGCAACCCGATCCTTTGGGGGTTGCAATTTGTTCCAGACCCTATTGGGGATGCAGGCTGGGAAGGCAGAGCTGGAGCTTTTCAACAGTCTCATCACACAGGATCTTGCCAGGTTGAAGAGAAAAGCTGCAGAGCCCAGGTGGTGCATGTGCCAGGCTTTTCAAGATGTATTTTGTGACTAAGTTTATCCTCCATCTAGGGCATCTGCTCTCTAGCAGAGACGAACCTGACTCCAGTTTTGTTACAGGGAGGAAGGAAGATATACACAGAAAGCTTTCTTGTAATCTTTGGCTATAAAATAAACCAAAACAAACAAACAAACAACAAACAACAACAAATAAAAAAACCCAACAAAACTCATCTTTTCACTTCTTTCTTGCATTCCAATTTTTAAAATTGATATTTTTAGATTTTTCTGTCAAAATGCTGCAGCAGCAATATCACTTAGTTTCTGTGACTACATGCCCACTTTTATAGTTAAAAAGAAATTTAAAAACACACTGAAAGAGGGTATATGCTTTACATTTTTATACTAATTTTCACTTTAAAATCATTGGTTTCAAACAATGTATGCATTTTAGGAATAAAAAATGAAAAAGTCCACATAAATCATTAAGAAAAAAATTGCCTAAACCTGAGTTTCTAACATTTCATTGTGAATGAAACTTCCAGAGTGTGCTTTTTCTGTTTTCGGATTTGAAATTACAAAACTTCCCATGAAGATAGATTCCACTTTCTCAAAGATTTTCCTGTTGAAGAGTCACATTGAAAAAAGTATTGCCTCCATAAGAATGATTGGGTTTTAAAATCAATTGCTATGATTTTTTCTGGCACTGTTTATCATGACATTAATTGTTTTCCTTAAAGTCCAAATTGCTAGAATTTGTGATTTGAAGAGAATCTCAGCATTAAGTCAGAAGCAAAAGAGTAAACTGTCTAATCTCATAGTTAAAGTAAAAAAATGAAAGTCTTTCAGTCTGAACATTATTTACAAGAGTAGCTAACTTTATTTCTTCCTTTAAATACCATATTTTTAATTTATTGTTATGAGTGAGATGTTAACTTGGGTTTTTTGAAGATTTTATATTCACTATGTCAGTAACTAGAATCTATAAACAGACCTGGCATAACAATTTCAGGTTTTCAAGAAATTGTAACTCTTTAAAAAGTGATAGATAATGACTGATTAAAAATTAAATTTAACTTCTGTGGCATTAAATTTTAATTTAAAAATACCACAGATAGGAAAACCTATAAAATTTTTTTCATGGAGAAGATCCATCCCTTCATTTCAAAGTGAAATGGATCATTTCTTCACAGCTGAGGATACACATGCAGAAACGAGGAGAGTGAAAAAGTGGATTTCTACTGGAACTGGACCTCCCTGATTTGCGACCTGAAAGCTCTGGCATCCCTGATGACACAGATGGCACATTGCTCTGTGGTTGTGGATGCTCTAGCCTCAGAAATTACAGATCAGAAAGGTTTTTTTTCCTTGTTTCTAGGGAAGTATTTCAAAACCAAGCCATTTCCAAGGAACTTGCTGACTAGCAAATGGGATATTTGCAGTAAAAAAATGCTTTTATATGAAAGATATGCCTGACAGCTTTAAATGTATCTGTGTCTATGCCATTTTTGAGGAAAATGTTTCCTACAGAAATAAATTAGAATTTTCAGGGCAGAAAAAGAAGCTACAACCTCAACCATCCTCTACTGGTTCCCATTGTGAAAGACCACACAATTCCTAGCTCAGTAGCATAGGTAGAGCCCTGTTGAACACGAGCATGGCTTCAGCTTTGCCGTGCAGTGCACATAGATTTCCACCAGCCCGATTCTAACACTTCTCAGAACTGTCATTTTCACATGCAAGGAAATAATTTTGATGCGTATTTATGGTTTCTTGTGGTCACACACATGCTTATTGAGTTCCAGAGTAAGATAACACTGTGTATCCATGATAGTGCAGACCCCACTCTAGACAAACAAATCCCACTTTCCAGCATGGTATATATCCAGATTCAGTGTCATCTAACATAGTTACACAGGTTTTCCATCTTGTAGCAGTGTTAAAGGCAATTCATATCCACCTCGAGGACAGCAAGAGCAGAATTGCATCTGCTTACAATATCCAGCATAAATACACCCCAGTCATCATGAATACATAAGAGGTGTTTTAAGTATGAGAACAGTCTTCTTAAAACCAAATATGTTATTCGAAAAGGCTAATTGATAACTTTATTTTGTACAAAGCTCAAGACATATGCTCAAGACATCTAGCTGTTTCCTCATTACAAATAAATTAAAATGCACTCAAATATCCCTATAAGAGATGTACAGTGCAGTGGCAGAACTGCATTTTTTAACTGCTTTAACAAATACTAGCTCCAAGTTCGTTGGTCCTATTTTAGATTTGGAAAACTTGTCTGTTTTTATTAGGTGGATCAGCTGGCTTAATTAAAGATACTGCTTTGTTCATATCCTTGACAATCACAATTAACATAACACTGTTATTATAAATAATATGCTGTGTGATGGTTTTCAGACACCTTTCAGACACCAATAAAAATTTCAGTGAAGTCATGCATATAGATATGAGAAGACAGCTCTTTAAAGCCAAACAATTCTATAGTAAAAGATACTTACACTCCTTCACTCTCCTCTCAAGGTAATGCACTGTGTACATGCTTAATCTTCCTGCTTCTCTTGCTAGTTAAGAATGACCTGCTGTCTCTGTGCATAAAGATTAAAATTTGAATTAAAACATTACTCAGGGACTTCAATTACCCACTATGGATTTGCTGCCCCTGGACTTGACCCACTCCCCCAGCAAAAAATACTTACAGTGAAAAAAAAATATCAAGCTGGGACAGGTCTGCCCATTTGGTCCCTAATACCATCTGGGAACATAATGACTCAATTCATTTTGCCCTCAGATTAATGGAGCAAGCTCAAGTATTATAAGAAGCACTTTAATTCCCTCTGATGTTTTCATTATGAATTCCTTTGTGGCAGAACTCATTTGCAATAATGCATATGTAATTTTGGAAACCAAAAGGAAATCCTGTAGCCTTCAAGACATTATTAACCTGCAGAAATGCTGAGGCACACATAAAATTCAAATATGCTAGCACCAGCAACCTCCTGAAACATTTTAAGAATAAAACCGGTAAGTAAAACTGCATCTCACTACTTGGAAGTTAAAATGACTGAATTAATAACTATGAAAACCCTAACGGTATTAGTGTGTCTTAAGCTGTCTGTTCAGATTCTTTCTAAGGATTTAAAAATATACACTGGAATAGTCTAAAAAGTTCTGGGAGTTTATTATTTACAGATATTTGGAAGTGAATCACCTGCATCAGTTGTAGACTTCCTCTTTCTCTCTTTTTTTTGCATGGTCCATTACATGTTTCTTTATTTAAGAGTGTTCATCAGCCATAGATAGGAGATCTGATATTTTGCTGTATTCTGTAGCCAGTGTTGTCTCATTTGATGCAATGGGTCCAAGACTATTGTCTCCAGTAGTTTATGGAGTTATATAAAGTAGTCAGTGTCCAATTTCACTTCGAAGTCATGGCATAATTATTGGATTGACTTATTTAATTCTCTGTAACACAATAGAAGATTTCTATATATAAGATTCACAGGAAATGTAACCAGGGTCATCTGCTAACCCCCACCTGCTGTGTGACAGGCTGGGAAATAGTAGAGACTACAAGAAACCAGAAGTATAACTAAGGAATTTATTTTAGTCTGCTTATGTCAATTTTGTGGTCAAAATCAATGCGTATACCATTTGTTGTTTTGAACCCAAAGGTTCATATAGAGAAATATATCAATTGCCCTTTGGGATCAGACTCAGAATGAAAACATAAGACTTCCTAGTTCAGAGCAAGCATCCATCTAGCTGAAGGACATCGCTAGGAAAGTGTAAAAGCAAGGAAAATATGTATCATTCTTTCCTTATATTCGCACAGGCTCAAACTATTTTCATTCAGGGTATTTCCTAAGCTTGACATAGCGTGTCTGTTTGGTAAATTGCAATCAATCCCTTTTCTAAGTACTTTTCCAGTCATTCTTTACATCCACTCAAGCTTCTTGTGTTGACAATGTTTTTCAAGTATTCACACAAGGCTCTGTTGACTAGAGAATCACCTGCTTTTGCTTGGTTTGAACCCAGCTCCTACTAGTGTTTTTTCCTGTGTTTTGTACTGGACAAATTAATCTTTCTCTACCCACTTCATGCCATTCATAATTTTGCAGTCATCTATTTTACATTCCTAAATCAGTGCTTCCAGATTGACGAGCCCTAGCCTGCTCAACCATTCTTCACATGAGAAACAGGCCACACATTTGATTGTGCTTGTTGCCCTTCTCTGAACCTGCACCAGTTCTAACACATCCTTTCTGAGATGAGGGGACTAGGGTGCACACAATATTCAATACGAAGGCAAATGTGAATGTGTACAGGGGCATAATTCATCTTTAGCACCCTGTCTCCAACTGTACTAGAAGTTTGAACTGAAAATGCCTCCCTAGGAGACAAATGTGAAACAATTTGTCCTTCACCTGTTATCCTTTATTCCTGACAAAGTTTAGCTCTCAGGTACGAAATAGTTTTAGAGTTTCTTTTGTAGCAGTAGCTATATAACTGCAAATACTACTCTTATTGACAGTAAATATCTAATTTCATTGGGAAAGTTTTTAAATTCTTGACCATAAGATTTTCCTGTACCAATGAGTTCTGCAGCTGTTTTGGTTCATGTTACACAAGGAAGTATTTCCAAACACTGGCCTTAATTTTTACAGGTCACTCTCATTGAAGGATTGCTTATTGTATGCAATGTGAATGGATTTTAGATTTGTGGAAAAAAAAAAAAAAAAAAAAAAAAAGAATTGGAGCTTTCCTAGAAATTAGCCCAATTTTGGCATCAATAACTATTTTTAAGAAAGCTTTCATTTCAGAGTAATATATTTCAGTTTCTTCCAAGTGTAAATTACATTATTGTAATTTTGAACTTCTGTAATACACAGTAGAAGTAAACACTTTGATTCTGTGTGCAAGTGTGTGTTAAAGACTACCTTTTATTAAAATATGGGTTGCAGAAACTCCTAACCTAAACCACTGCAATATAAAATCTGTTACTGAACTTCTCATAACATCAAATTCTTTAAAAATATTCAAAGTATAATTTTAACTGATCAGAAGATAAGCTCAGATGTTCATTTTGTGATTCCTATTTGACTGTATTACCCTGTACAAGCCTCACTTGCCCTCCTACTTTATAACAAAGCATTTTTCAAATATGTACTTGCTGGGACTCACTCCATGAGCCCAAGAAAAGTCCAGAATCCTTTTCTCTGACTTCTTCAACACTCAAAAAAAAGGGATTAGCAGCAGCCACCAGTGAGGGTCCTTGACAACTAGCAATGAAACTTGGAAGAATCTGGTGTCAATTTGCTACTGTAAATTATTGGTATAGGAGGCTCAGATTGACTTCTGAACTCTGCAGTTACGATTCAAAACAGCAAATATAACAGTATTCCTGGCTTCTGAATGCCCAGTAGAGCTTCTTAGTTGCTTTGAATGAACAAGTGCAACATGCCTAAATTCACCTATAATGTAGATCGCTGCTAAATGCATGTGTTTGATGCTGTACTGTTTCAAAACACAGTCCCAAATCCTTTATAGGAGGTCAGTATCGGGCATGAACGTAAGTAAAATGAAAACATTAGAACAGTAGGGCAAGAGATACAAAGACAAAGGCGCAGAGCCTCATTAAAATCACTACACCATTATTATTTCTGGAGTATTGGTTGTTTCAAAGACTGATGAAAAATAAAGACTTAACCTCCAGAACCTTGTGCTATGATTTGTCATTATCTCTACGAAAAAAACATAATATAGTTCTGTTCAAAAATCTGGTGTTCTAGTTCACATAAAGCTTCATTTTTTTCTCAAAAGTCAGTTTAAGTCTGACAGTCAATTGAAATGGAAAACTTCCCAAACTTCCTGTGAACTGAAAGCCCTCCTGGATCTCAGCTGCTAAGGCATGCTCAGAAAGCACAGGACCTGGAGTGGAAATCACATTATCCCACTTCAAGTGCTGGTAGGTCACCCACTCTCTCTTTATAGCCAGTAGTGAGAAGCAAGTCCTGTAGGCACAGTTCATGTATTTTGAGTTTGGGTGACTCATGCCCTAAGACCACCACCAGCTGTAAAGGGAGCCCAGGTCAAGTGGCACAGAAGTAAACATCTACTCTGCAAACATGGTCATCTCATAACCTGGCCAGATCTGGGCCACATGGCAGCACAACTCAAGCCTCCAACCTGTCAGAACTCATTACGGGAGATAACTTGAAGCTGCTTTGCCAAAAAGTCCACGTGTGGGCTGGAGCAGCAACATGTAGGCACAAACAGACTTTGTCCAGACCATTAAATAAAGCAGGGCCAGCAAGGTCTCTGAGAAACCAAGTATTTGTACTGATAAACAGTTAGAGTCACTCATGACATGCTTTTAACTCTAGCTGTCACTTCCCCAAACATTTTTTCCCAGAAAAATGTGACAGCTAGGACAAGGCAAGTACTGTTTCTGAAAGGATGTGCTAGCAGTTAATGGAACAATTACACTCTCTTCAGGATGGGGTAGTAAATGATTGGCAATTTGCCTTAACGCCATGAAAAGATCCTGGGTTGGTTTAATTTACAGGATAGTCATAGTGAGCTGGATCCCCAGACCCTTCTCTGGACTTATTGAGGGCTCACTGAATCCTTCATGCTTCCAGAGAAATAGTTCAGGGTATTGACACTTATGCTTTCTGATGAAAGTTGGGTTGGTCAGATGTCCTGGACACACCTAGTATCAGATCAGTCACTCTTATTTGGAAAAATTTCTTCTCACCTTTAAATGGGAAAACTGAAAATTATCTTACTTCTGATCCTGAATTTATCTTAATTCTGACTAAAGAGTTAACAAATAGTGATGTCATTCAGCCTCTAGAGTTCATTCAATCCTTGGTCTTACCTGGAACAGACAGTAAAAGTGTCAGTCAGCAAACAGCTGACTACCAGGAATGGAAATAAATCATTTAGGTTTGATTATTAAAACTGCAATTTTCAACCAAAATGACCCTAGCTAAACTGAAGATGGTCCCTAATACTAGTCTTTATTGGTTTACTTCATTCCTTTCATTTCAAGCATCAGCTTTAAAAAGCTTTAGCTTAACATTTTTCCATACACTGAAATTTTAGCTTAGCTTTATCCGTAACAGAACCTCCCATGAATGTCTACTTATTATGATGTTTATTCATCTTTAAATAGTTCTATATCAATTAGTTCAGTCTTCAGGGATGCTGGGGCTGAGACTAAAGTCAGCTTTTTAAAGGTCAATGCACAGCCACTCTACAAGCTATTTATACAGAATATTCATAGCAAATTAAATGCATAACTGCATGTACTTACTAAATAATCATAGGATCATAGAATCATAGAATGATTTGGGTTGGAAGGGACCTTAAAAATCATCTCGTTTCACCTCCCCTGCCATGGGCAGGGACACCTCCCACTAGCCCAGGTTGCTCAAAGGCCCGTCCAACCTGGCCTTGAACACTGCCAGGGAGGGGGCAGCCACAGCTTCTCTGGGCAACCTGTGCCAGTGTCTCACCACCCTCACAGGTAAGAATTTCTTCCTTACATCTAATCTAAATCTACCCTCTTTCAGTTTAAAACCATTACCCCTTGTCAGACTCTGATAAAGAGTCCCTCCCATCTTCCCTATAGACCCCTTTTAAGTACTAGAAGACTGATAGA